GTCCCTTCCACCACTACACACTAGGAGGGGTGACCCACAAAAAGAAACTGAAAGACTAGAGGAAGAGGAAGGAAGAATAAGTGCTTACATCCAAATTTCCCCAATGAGACTCCAGGCCTCATCTCACGCTGCCTGCAGGGCCACCGATGTGCTGCACCTACGTTTGTTCTTTGCAGGCTCGCATTCAGCTCTGTGCCAGTACTTGTATTATCTTGGGGGTGCCCCGCCAACCGCGATGTGGCGGCATCGTGAAGGCTTGTTCAAAAGGTCCCATCCATTCAGAGGGAAGCTGCGCGCGCCCAGACAGGAACGGGGGCCGATGTGGGACTGGCCCTAGGGCCAAGGCCTATACTCAGGTGCAATTAAGAACTGACAAAGAGGCCGGGCGTGGTGGCTCACGCCTGTAATCCTAGCACTTTGGGAGCCGAGGCGGGCGGGATTGCTCAGGTCAAGGAGTTCGAAACCAGCCTGAGCGAGACCCGCTTCTACCAAAAATAGACAAAATTACTCTGACCAAACTAAAAATTAATATACCAAAAAATTTAGCCGGGCATGGTGGTGCATGCTGCAGTCCAGCTATGGTGAGGTGAGGCAGGAGATTCCGTCTGAGCCACGGAGTTGAGGTTGCTGTGGCTAGGCTGACGCCCTGGGCACTCAATCTATGCCTGGCAACAAAGCGAGACTCCTGTCTCAAAAAACCAATAACAAAAAAAAAAAAAAAAGAACTGACAAAGAAGGCCTTAAGCGCCGGTGGCTCACGCCTGTAATCCTAGCACTGCTGGGAGGCCCGAGGCGGGGCGGTTGCCTCGACGGTCAGGAGTTCGAAACCCGAGCCCTGGCAGAGCGTAGACCCCGTCTCTAACTATAACATAACGAAAGAAAGAATGGCCAACTGGATAATAATATAATCATAAAAAATTAGCGCGGGCATGCGGTGCACATGCCCTGTACGTCCCAGCTACCTCGGAGGCTGAGCAGAAGGATTGCTCTGAGCCCAAGGAGCTTGGAGCGTTGCTGTGAGCTAAGCTAACGCGCACGGGAACCACTCTAGCCTGGACAACAAGTGAGACTGTCTCCAAAAAAAAAAAACAAAAGAACTGCGACAAGAGCTGGGTGGCAGTGGATTTTTTTTTAATAAAACAGCTTTATTGAGCTATAATTCACATAGCATACAATTTATCCATTTAAAGTGTATAAATCAATAGCATTTGGTATAAAAGAGTGTTTTCTTAGGCCTCCCAGAGCATCTCTGAAATGCTTCCCATTACATCCACTGACCATACCTAGATGGAAAAGTGGCTGAGAAGTATAGCCTCTTAAAAGAAAACATATCCTTGGGTTTACAAAGGAGTGAGGAAAGAAAAAATAAGGGACAAAATAAAGAAATTAAAAAAAAAAAAAGAAAAGAAAACGCAGGCTGGGCACAGTGGCTCCTGCCTATAATCCTACCACTTCAGGAGGCCGAGGCAGGAAGATCGCTTGAGGCCAGGAATTTGAGACCAGTGAGGCTGGGCACTCTTTACGCTCATCTACAGAGCGGTTCTGGCTAGATTTCAGACCTGAGTGCCTACTACGTGCCAGGTCTTGTGCCCATGGGCGCCGGTGACCCAGAGTGATAGTGAGCCGTGTGCTCCTTGCGGGCAGGGCTCAGGCTGAGTCTGAGTGCCCAAGAACCTGACTTGGAGCAGATGCTTGGGGTATGTGCTGCTGGCTCCTGCCGGTCTTCCTCGGTCTCCCCAGCTCTTCCCCTTCTTTTCCTTTCCTCGATGCATCTCGTGGGCATCAGCCATGCCACACAGAGCCCAGGGCCCTGGGTGCACAGGGAAGGGTCAAGAGCAGGTCTCTGGAGTGCAAATGCCTCTGAATTCTAGCTTCATTGCTTAGGAGCTGGGTGACTCTGGGCGAGTGATTCGACTCCTCCAAGCTTAAATTTCCCCATCTGTAAAACCAGGCTGGTAATAGTAAACTTCTTAGGATTGTTTTTTGACCTGCAGATTTGTGAACTAAAAACAAGTATTGTTTTAAGACCACTAAGTTTATGGAAATTTGTTACATAGCAATAGAAAATTAATACAATACACTTCTTTTTCTTTTTGAGACAGAGTCTCACTCTGTCACCCAGGCAGAGTGCCGTGCGTCAGCCTAGCTCACAGCAACCTCAAACTCCTGGCTCAAGCGTCCTCCTGCCTCAGCCTCCCGAGTAGCTGGGACTACAGGCATGCGCCACCATGCCCAGCTAATTTTTTTCTATATATTTTTAGTTGGCCAATAAATTTGTTTCTATTTATAGTAGAGATGGGGGGTCTCACTCTTGCTCAGGCTAGTTTTGAACTCCTGACCTCGAGCAATCCACCTGCCTCGGCCTCCCAGAGTGCTGGGATTACAGGCATGAGCCACCATGCCTGGCCTACAGTACACTTTTTTTTTTTGAGACAGAGTCTCACTTTGTTGCCCAGGCTAGAGTGAGTGCCGTGGCATCAGCCTAGCTCACAGCAACCTCAATCTCCTGGGCTCAAGTGATCCTCATGCTTCAGTCTCCCGAGTAGCTGGGACTACAGGAATGCCACCATGCCCGGCTAACTTTTTCTATATATTTTTAGTTGGCCAATTAATTTCTTTCTATTTATAGTAGAGACGGGCTCTCGCTCTTGCTCAGGCTGGTTTTGAACTCCTGACCTTGAGCAATCCGCCCGCCTCGGCTCCAGAGAGCAGGATGACAGGCGTGAGCCACGCGCCTGCCAGTATACTTCTTAATGGACTCTTAAGATCCCTCTGGTAGGAGCTTCTCTTGTGTCCTTAATACCTCATCCCCAGATGAGGGCCTGGTACACCATAATGTCCCTTTTCCTCTGCATCCCACTATCAGGAAAGAGGTGGAACATTCTACCCCGCCCGCGCAACTCCCTACCCTGCGGGGCCTACGCAGGAAGCTGCTCTGAGTGGCGTTCCACAAATAGCCCAGGTCCCAGCTGACCGGCCTCCCATGCCAGGCCTCAGAGACCTTTGGCCGCCCTATCGATCTGGGCTCCTGGGCAGGGAGTTGGGCTAACGCACGGACGCCATGAGGGCTCTGCTGCTCCTGGGGTCCCTGCTGGTGCACCTGGAGTCAACGCTCTCGGTGAGGGCCTTGGGGGTCTGTTGCACAGTTGTGGCCTTTGCCCATGACCCGTGAGTCCAGGCGACGGGGAGGCTTGTGCGGCAAGGCGAGGCCGGCCCAGAAGGCCCAGGCGGAGGAGATAGACAACCAGTGCTGGTGGATAGGAGGGCAGAGCCTGTGCCTCCGGGGGATAGGGAGACTTGAGAAGACCATGAGAGGAGGAGGGAAGGGTCCAGGCAGCGGGGGGAAATCTCTGCACTTCTGGGCTGTGAGAGGGAGCTGGGGACTGGCATGGCATCTGGAGCAGGTGATGTCTTTGTAGGCAAATCCCCTGCCTTCTTCTCTCCCATGCAGGCTCCACCTTGGAAAGCCCCCAAGGAGCACAAGGTCAAGGTGGATGAGCACACAGTGGGTAAGTAGCCTGGCTCCTCCTCCTGGGTACCCGAGTATGACGAGGGGCGTGCAGTCTTGGGGCAGCCTCGGGCCCTTGGAGTGAGGGCAGGGAGGCTGGGCACGCTTTTTTTTTTTTTTTGAAAGTGACAGGAGTCTACTCAAATTGGCTTTTTGGCTCATATAACTGAGAAGTCCTAAGGATACTTCTAGTTTTAGGATCCAGGCTCCTGGAGTCACGAGGAATCAATCCATCACTGTTAGTTATCAAAAGTGTAACAGATCACCCTAAAACTTATAGTTTACAACAACAACAACAACAACAGCAATTAATAATGATTTCTCACAGTTTCTGATGGCCAGGACTTCAGCAGCAGCTTAGCTGGACGGTTGGGGCTCGAGGTCTCTCACGAGGTTGCAAGCCAGATGTCAGGTGGGGCGGAAGTGATCACCTCTGAGGTGGCTCCTTCCCGTGGCTGTCAGAGTGGTGCTGCTTGTTGGCAGGAGGCTTTACTTCTCTCCCCACAAGGGCCTCCCTGCAGGGCTCCCTGTGCATCCTCACAGCATGGCGGACCTCTCTGCAGGGCTGTCTGTGCATCCTCATCCTCACAGCATCTCCAGACCCACATTCTATGTGCTCAGCGACCTCCGTGGGAAGAAAGGACTGCTTTCCAAAAAGTGCTGGCAAAACTTCCAAGGCAGACGCTGATTGGCCTAACTTGTGCATATGCTTATCTCTGAACCAATCACTGAGGTCTAGAGATGCCACTCTCTGACCGGCCACAGCTAGGCCACACCCCCAACCCTACAACTGAGGGTAGAGGTGGCTGCTAGCGGCTCCTGGAGAAAGTGAGGGAGGGATGTTTCCTAAAGCAAAAATCAAGGCATCGTTACTGAACCAGGACAAACGCTGGGCAGGAAAAACAGCACATGTCCACCTCGTCTTCCTCTCTTGTGCTCCAACTATACATTTCAGTGCCCCTTGGTTTATCACCTTTTTCATGAAATCATTTGCTTTCTTGGCTTTATAGAATTCTAAGGCGACCCCCAAGATCTCCACCCCGGGGCCTGCACGCCTTCTCACAGTTACTCAGTCAAACGCTAATCTAGATGTTTCTGTGACAGAATTTTGCAAATGTAATTAAGGTCCCCAACCAGTTGACCTGAAGATAGGAGATTACCATTGGTGGGCCTGACCTAATCAGGCAAATCCTGGAAAGGGACAGGGTTCTTCCTGGCAAAGGAGATTCACAACGTGACGGAGTTGACACGGGGGAGATCCCCTGTTGCTGGCTTTGAAGACGGAGGGGTCACAGGGCCAGGAGTGCGGGCAGCCTCCAGGAGCCGAGGGTGGCTGCTGGCTGACAGCTTGCAA